ATTTTATAAAGACATTCACAAAAAAGGACTTCCAGAAATGCTTCACAAAGTGCAATGATAAGTGTGTCTGAAGCTACAGGAAGTATTTTGAAGGTGATTAACACCAATGTGTCTTTGAGTGTAATATATGCTTTTAAATTTAGCATTCACTGTATATGGTGATTGCCCTTTATAATAAAATCAGAGTAAATTTCTAAGTTTTCTGGTCTGCGTTCCTACATCTGAACAGGCAAATATCCAATGTTCTAATAAAAAAGCTGACTAATCTTAAATTATTTAAGGTAGATAATATATAGTTTCCTTTGTAATGCATTCTAGGATTTATTTATCAGTTATGACTTAGGAGTTTATATTTCAGCTTCATATTTTGGTGGAGGATTAAAAAAAAGTAAACTGTAGTATTTTGTATAGACCATTATGGTCCAGAGTAAATGCAGCTGGTTTGCCTTCATGGTTTCTTATATCTGTTCAAAAATTGCAAAAACCCCAGCAACACTGACTTGGTTTTCTTTCCTGCACTAAAAAACATTTCTCTATTAATATGTATAATTTGTGTTGCTATGCATCAGTTTAAAAATAAAATTTTAGAAACATTCTCAAACCCAGATAACAGTTTCATTCCATTCCATGGAGTTTGGCTAGTGGCTTTGCTTTAGGCTGTTCAGATAAAGAGACAATGTGTACCTGTATTTTGTAATTTGCTTTATTAATGGTGACTCATTATTCCACAAAAGACGATGCTAAAAAAAATGGTTCATAGCAAATCACCTACAAACTCGATGACTTAACATATAATCATTTTACCCTTGTGTGTGGGTTATCTTGGAGAGCTGTTGTGTAGGCTTCACAATGGCCAGGCTTAGCTTCAGGCTTCAGGCTCCAGGCTTGATTCCTCAATCACAACATTTTACTCTCCTTGAAACAACTCTGCTAGGGACTGTTTTCCTCAAGGCAAGTCTCCTAGCAAAAGAAGAAAACTAAAGCTCACTGACTCATTTAAACACTTTCTTCCTATCAAGCTGTGCAAATAGAAGGAACATCAAAATAAGTCACAAAGTCAAACAAAGTCAATTAAGCAAGGAAGTGAACACTGCTCCAAAAATGAAGCTAAGGGGAGAGAAAATTTTCTGGGCAATACACCAATATATGATAGTGGGCACCCAAAGATTTGTTGCTGGAGGTAATAATTACAGTAGATAGCACAAAGAATTTATCAATCATATGCCAGTGCCAAACACTGAGCTAAAACATGTTACTACATTTGATGCTTAAAGGACCCCTTGGATAAAGTACTCTAATTATACACATTTTTAATAGAGCATCTCTATATGCAGGACAAGTGCTTTTATTGCAGGCTAGCCTTGAACTCATTATGCAGCCCAGGATGACCTCGAATTCACAACAATCCTCCTACCTCAGCCTCCCAAGTGCTACATTTACATGTATGCATCACTATGCCCAACTAATTATCCACATTTTCCAGATAAGGAAACTGAGGTACTTGGGACACAAATCATTTCTCAATTACATGAATGCTGTCATATTCAAGATAGTATTTGTGCTCAGGTACCTGGCCTCAGTCTAAGACACAGTACACAGACCACTGTGATGATAGCATTGTGATGATTCAGTTATAACAGATCAAGCAATCATGTTTTCTGTTTGTCTTTAGAGTTGTAGATATATAGAGAACATATATACTCTTAATCATCAGGGAAAACTATTACTGCACTCAAAATAATTGGTCCTTTCTGACTTCCCATCCATTTAGACTGGACTTTTGGCACGAAGATTTTGATCAGATTGTTTACAAAATGGCTGATCTCTAAATATTGAATTAGTAATAATCAACTATGAGTTAGCATGTACAGTTCAATCATGTATTTCTTTCTCCACCTCCTCCACTACTTCTTCTTCTTCTTTTTCTTCCTCTTCTTCTTCTTCTTCTTCTTCTTCTTCTTCTTCTTCTTCTTCTTCTTCTTCTTCTTCTTCTTCTTCTTCTTCTTCTTCTTCTTCTTCTTCTTCTTCTTCTTCTTCTTCTTCTTCTTCTTCTTCTTCTTCTTCTTCTTCTTCTTCTTCTTCTTCTTCTTCTTCTTCTTCTTCTTCTTCTTCTTCTTCTTCTTCTTCTTCTTCTTCTTCTTCTTCTTCTTCTTCTTCTTCTTCTTCTTCTTCTTCTTCTTCTTCTTCTTCTTCTTCTTCTTCTTCTTCTTCTTCTTCTTCTTCTTCTTCTTCTTCTTCTTCTTCTTCTTCTTCTTCTTCTTCTTCTTCTTCTTCTTCTTCTTCTTCTTCTTCTTCTTCTTCTTCTTCTTCTTCTTCTTCTTCTTCTTCTTCTTCTTCTTCTTCTTCTTCTTCTTCTTCTTCTTCTTCTTCTTCTTCTTCTTCTTCTTCTTCTTCTTCTTCTTCTTCTTCTTCTTCTTCTTCTTCTTCTTCTTCTTCTTCTTCTTCTTCTTCTTCTTCTTCTTCTTCTTCTTCTTCTTCTTCTTCTTCTTCTTCTTCTTCTTCTTCTTCTTCTTCTTCTTCTTCTTCTTCTTCTTCTTCTTCTTCTTCTTCTTCTTCTTCTTCTTCTTCTTCTTCTTCTTCTTCTTCTTCTTCTTCTTCTTCTTCTTCTTCTTCTTCTTCTTTCTCCTCCTCCTCCTCCTCCTTCTCCTCCTCCTCCTTCTTCTTTCTATTCCTCCCTCTTTTTCTCACTCTCCTCCTCCAAGTCTACCTTCACCTCTGTCTTTTCCTTCTCTTATGATCTTTCCTGCCATAGGAGATTCATGTATATGCTTTATGCCAAAAATTATTCTAAATTTTTACCATTTACTTGTTATATGGTGATGAATCTTATATTCATCCTTCAATATTTATCATAATGTCATCTTATAATAAAAGTATTTTAAAGCACTAGATTGACAGGTAAATATAATGATATTAAACCATATGCACAAATTACTTGATACTACTATTTTCAAGTGGATTCTAACTGTAACTCTCTCTTAAATGTAGGCTATACTTAATGATTTCTAACACAAAGAATGTGATGAAAGCAATATTGAGAAACTCAAGGAACTAGATCATAAAAGGTTCTGTGGCTTTCTTCTTGCTGTCTCTCTTAGATCATTCACTTTAGAGGAATCCAAAGACCATTATCATTGACATTTATGCAAGTCTATGGAGAGTCCAATGTGTTAAGGAACTGAGTCATGTGAGTGATCTGTCTTTAACCTTGATTAGTTCTAGTCACACATCATGTTAATAATATCATCAGTTAATATCTTGACTGAAGTTTTATGAGAGCCTCTGAACCAGAACCCAGGTAGGAAATCCTCAGATTTCTGACTTACAGAAATTACATGGTAATAAGTAGGGCTCTGAGTTGCTAAGTTTTGGAGTTGTGCTCACATGGCCTCAACACAGGGCCTGATATACAGAGCACTGTCACGATAGCATTGTGATGATTCATTTATTCCACAACCACATCAAGCATTAATACTTTCTGTTTGAATAAACTTCGAATCTTTATTGCCTAAAATGAACATCTGTAGCACTGTGTAAATATTTATAATATATTCATAATGCCTTAAAAGCTATAACTAAATTATTACTTATACAATTCAATTAATTGTTCTTCTATTTGATATCAAATTCCATGAAGGTGGGAACTACATACTCTGTTTTTAAATAACTTTATTCTTTTCATTTCTCCTGAGGATACAGTCCATGCATGTGAAATAAATACTGAACTGTCTTAATCTAAACTGATGCTAAAGAAGAACGCAGAAACTTTTTGATTATTTAAGGAGTACTATTTAAATGATTGATTTATTCATTATAGAAAACTAGAAAAAAATACCCATGTGACAGAATGATCAGAATTTCTCTTTTAATGATGCTGTTTTTGCAATGAGATAAATCATTACATCCCAATGAGAGTCTAGAAAATGATACCTTTTATGATAAACGTACAAGACCAAACTCAGAACTTTTAAAAAAAATTTTCTATATAGAGTAACAAAAGAATTTAAAGAATAAGTAGTTGTCACGATGAATTGCAGAGTGTCATAAACTCTAAATCCCCACCTCTATAATAAACCCAATAAATATGTCATTGTCATTTAAGAAAATCACAGAGCACTTTTTCAGAGTTTCTTAGATTCACAACTGGCAGTAGAAAAGTAATATTTAAAGCTATATTTCAGCAACACTGACCTTTTGGCCAAGGGCCCAACACACTTAGTTTTAAATGCAGTATTAGATTTTCTATTGCAATTGAAAATTCTTTACAGTATTTTGAATATGGAAAGTCAGTCTGAAGCAACTCTTTTCCATTACCTAAAAAAAGCTAACAAGGTTTCTATTTATTGTATTCACAACCATCTTTTCATAAGATTTCTAATTGTAATTCATCTTCTCAAAGTACCCAAGCTCCTCATTTGAAACATCACATCCACCTGCACTTCCTCCTTGTGGATATCATTATGTGACCTAAATATTGCTTCATTTGCCATGTAGACTCTAACACTAGGTTCATAGTATTTCTTTTATTTTCATTCACTTTCATTATCTGAGGTGAGTTTAAATCTTTGTCTATTCACTCATTGCACTTTTATTTTGTGATTTAGCACAGGGTTAAGAACTAGGAATACATAATCTATTAGGCTTCTATATAGTAGAAGAAATTGTACATTAACAATAAGACTTTCATTGCATCGCTAAGACACACATACTACCAAGGTGAAAAACAAGTTCTATAAGATATAGATAGGTAGATACATAGATAGACACATAGATGCATCGATAGGTATAGATATAGAGATATAGATAGGAATAGATTCTCAGAAATTACAATAAAATCCTAAATACTCTTCTTAATTACTTCTTCTCATGCTTCAAGTTCTCAGACTTCCATTTCCACACTGGACACTGTATCAGTTAAGATTCATTAGAGGAACAGACAAAGATAGATATAGATATAGATATAATTACAAGGTAGTCATATAATGGCTGCCTACAGAGTCAAATGTAGAAGAAAGCAAAAGCGCTGATTGCTAGTGTGTCGGAAAATGCAGTCCAAAGTTAAAGGCCTGGACTAACTGCAGAGTCCCACGTGAGTCCCTCTCAGGAAGACCCGTGGTTTAAGATGGAAGGCTGAAGAGTCTGCAAAGGATGCCCAAAGGTGATGGTGTATTCTGGAACTCCTGCAAAGAAACAGAAGCAACACTTCTTTCTTCTTTCTCTTTTTATTCCACCCAAGCTACAACACTATTGGTTGATGCCACCAACACCCAGGGTGGGTCTCTTCAGTAAATCAGTCATCCAGAATTCTGCTCAACTAATCTACTAGGCATTTTTTATTCAAGTTGACACCACAACTCTCAAAGAGATGAACTGTTTCCCATTATGTTTTTAAGTCTTGTATTTATCAGCAAGTCATCCAAAAGCATAGTGAATTACCATGTATTTTGATAATCTCAACCAACTGCAAAAAAAGTGAGGATTTAAATATATTATTCCATCTTACTTTCATTTTAAAAAATGTCTGACACCAGAGAAACTATTCGGTATTTACACGTTTGTCCCATTTATTTCACTTAAGAGTATGGCCCAGTGATGAATGTAATTGTACTATATACCTAAAATGTGCCAATAAATTCAATGGAAAACAATGTAGAAAGTTACCTTTTCCCCTCCTTTATTTGAAATATTTTCTATTCATCTAAAAAAAACCCCCAATGATAAAACACTAAGAATGAACTGTAACATAAACTATGGACATTGGAATATTATGATGTGTCAGTATGTCTACTCAGTTGGAACAAATGTGCCACTCTAGTGTAGAGCATTAATGATGGAAGCTGTAAGTGCATTGTAGGAAGAATAGATGGAAAATCTGTCTACCTACTTTTTAATTTTATCGAGTCTTTAAAAAGAGATTTTGACAGCTTCACATTCTATTTCAATTTAACAATAGGGAGTCCACCTCTAAGAAACAAGCTTTCTTTTAATTATCTCAATTGTTCTTTACTCTTTGGAGAAAAGTCTGTATTTCTTAACTCTGTCAACTGATAAAAACATTAGACGTTATCAGCTTCACCGAAAAGAATATCTCACAATCAGAAGTGAAATTGTCAGGTGTTAATAAGACTTGAATCACTGGTCTGTGGGCTCCATAGATATTTCTTTCTAGAAACCCTGTGAATTACGCTTACAATGAATAAACTTCAAAATTGTTCCAGAAATTAAGGAAAATATTTTTTTCTAAATCTGATTGAAAAAGTTGTATAGATTATCAAAGTGATCTCTATTAGTTGTAATACTTTATAAAATTCCAAGTAGGAAGCTTTCTGCAACAATATGAAAGATGTATCCAAAAATTTTAATGAATTAATAACAGCCAAAATCCCACAATGATAGACCCAGTACAGTAAACAGTGAATGAGTTAATAGATGGACATCAAATCTCTTTTCCTCAAAACTCTCTTTGCATTTCTAATCTCCTTAACCCACCCCAGTTTCCAGGCATTCCATTCTCCTTTTGAAGGCTGTTCTTTTTTCTACTACAAAGCAACTCCACCAGGATCTAATACTACAAGGTTTTAGCACACTGTATGTTTCTTTGCAAAACCAAGTAATGACAAGCTGGGACAGCATCTTTCCAACTACTTTGTCTACCTCCACTAACTTCTGCACTACATTCACCACCCAGCAATAATTTCTTCATTACTAACTTTACACTGAGATGACAGGGTAAAGAAGCCATAATCCTGGTATCCAAAGTTTGCCCTGACTTGAATGATAGATAAACATGTTTGGCTAACATATTCCTGCCTCCAAATATATGTGAAATCATTTCTTTGAAATGGGTATGCAAACATCACACACGCGATTTATTCTTATTCAATTCTTATTTTTCTTTTTCTTTGTTACTTTTTACATAGCAATCTTATTCCCTCTCATTTTTTAAATGAGAGCTAAAGGATGATAATTCTCAAAAATAAACTCTGAAACAATGGTTTACCATGAAAATATCAATTGATAAGAAATAAAAGAGGAATTGTAAGATGGCTAGATCACAAGAGGAAAATGTAAGTGGGGAAAATACATCGACACTGTTAAACATTACACATGAGATACCATAATGTCAAACCAAGATGGAACAGAATGATCAAATTTATTTTCTTGCCTAAATAAAAATCTGAACAAAGTATATAAAATGGTTAGGAAGCAGTAGTCATAATACAGGACAGGGTTTCCTAACAGATGTTGGGAAATGAACAAGGTGAGGCTTGAATAAAATACATGCTTCTACTGTGAGAGAATTGCTCAGGTGAAGTAGAAGCAAAAGGAATCTATCAGACCTTATGAGGTGAAGACTGGAAGTCAGAACTAGAGACCAGTGCAACTAGAACTAGAAAGGCAGAATGCTGAAGAAGTGAGAAAGCTCCCTCAAGCATTCAGCAGAGGATTGATGAGCACATGGATGTGGTGAAACATCTGGACGCTAGGGAAAGAGGCGCATCAAAGGATTATAGGAAGGAGTTCCTGATGCTTCCTATGGCTGGGAATAATGCTTGTTTCCAATAGATATTGAAGAAAACACTGCAATTCATGAAGCTTGTGAGGTATTTCAAAAAGGTGTGTGGAATAGGTATAGACCAATGGTTTGCAGCCAAAGGTGATGCTCGCCTCCATGGGACACATATAAATATCTAGAGCTTTGGGCATTAAGTTGGGTAAAGTCCAGGGATTGAGCAGCTGCTGATCCATGTGAGGATCAACCCTCCTGTTGTGGGTATTACGATATAACTTTTAGGTTTGAAATACTCCAAAAGCAAGGAGAGTTTAGAATGAAGTATTTCAAACACAGAGAACATGTGCCACCCCAGACTGATACAGCATGCAAAATTGTCCTTCAAAATTAATGGAGAAATAAGATATTTCCAAGATAAAGAGCATCCAAGAAATTCAGTTACTAAGCCAACACTAAAAAAAAAAAAAAAAAGTATTTTAGAAAGAAACAATGGAGCTAAAAATGTCAAAAGGCCTAATAGAATGAATGCATCATGTACAGTGAGCAGTTAAATAGAAGGGGAAAAAGGGAAATAACTGCAAGAAAAAAATACAATGACAGGAAGAAGTCACTACCTATCATTCATAGCAATCAACATGAATGGTCTCAACTCACCAATGAAAAGACATAAATTAGAAGACTAGGTTAAGAAAAAAATCCAGTATAATGCTGTATTCCAGAAACACATTAATCCAAAAGGAAATTGATTAAAAATCAAAGGATGGAAAACAATATTCCAGGCAATAGAAATTTGAAAACAAGCAGGAGTAGCTATTCTACTTTCAAGGTGGACTTTAAGGCAAAACTGTTCAGAAAAGGCATAAAAGGACACTGTATATTAGTGAAGGGAACTATTCATTGGAATAGAATATATAAATATAAACATATATGCCTAAAACAACTGTGCACTTAACTTTTTAAAACAAATAATATGGAGCATAAAAGACCAGATTAAATATCAATACAATTGTAGTGGGGGACTTCAATAGCCCATTACCACAAGTAGATAAACAAAAAGAAATCATCAAAGAAATCTCAGAGATGAACCAAACCTCTGAATTTAATATATATATAT